AACCCTTCTTTTATATAATAATCATCTCTTACAATGACCTTAAATCCATTTGATTTTTCATGGGCTACTTTAGCCATTAGCTTTAGCCTTCTAACCCTAGATCGTTTACATAGATCAGCCGTGAGTATTATCTTTTCCTTATATTTTAATGATAATTTCGGCTTAGCTTTCCAGAATTCTCTCAGAATAGAATTCCTATCATAGACAGAGTTAAGAGTAATTTTAATTATTGATTTATTGCCATTTTTAGATATTTTAACTAAACTAACCAGTTCACAATTCTCTAGTCCTAGCTCAGTCCCAATAAAATGGGAGATTTCTTCCGAGAGATCCTCTGTCTCAAACGGATAATTAAAAATTATAATGTTATTTCTCGTTTTTTCGTTTATTAACTTGTCTATCTGAAATTCCAACATACCTTTCAAAGCCGAGCCTTTACCGACTTCTTTATCCAGATTCTCTACTCTGCGAGATACACTATTTAATTTCTCCTTCAACCCGACGTGTTCTTTCTTCAATGTGACCAGTTCTTCCTTTATTAACTGTAAGTCTGAGTTCAATATTGTAAACTTTTCCTGAATCAAATGATAAACTGCTTTGATAGTATACGGCGTCTCTTCAGTAATGTGTTCTTCCACAACTGATGACGATGAAAAATAATCCTGAATATTAGAATCTCTTATCACACCTAATTTTCCTTTCGAGGAAGAATCTCCAGATTGGCCTTGTTCATCTTCTATAAATTCTAACAGTTCACCTCTATCTATATTACGAGTATTAACTTTCCGCGGTCTACCGCGTCCCCGTTTTTGCATATCTTCGTAGTCCGGAGGGGATCTCGGCAAGGGACCTGGATTAGGCTCTATTCCTGCTATTATTAATAGACATATAATCAATTTCAAACATAATCGATTCGTTATGATCTGAAACTCCAAAATACTCATTATCTGCCTCTAAAATCACCAGACACTCCAACTATACTTTGAAAGTCAAACACAAGTTCACCAGCAGCGTCGACGACCACAGCGACTCCCCCCAACATGTATAATTCAAAATATTTAGAAAAATAATTCATAGCCAATGTAGTGATAGCTCTATATCAGTGTTCTGCAACCGGTGTGCCGCAGCGCACTGATGTGCCGTCACATGGTGAAAGGTGTGACGTGAACTTTTACATATTCTGTTAATTTCAAATTTTATTTATATATTTTTATCACAGTTGTTGTGTTTCTTATGCTTGTATTTCATTCTTTGCTGCAGCACTGATGAAATAAGATGATGTTTGTTTATTTTTTATTACAAGCCATGCATTTTTATGTATTCTAAGAAATTATATGTAAAGGAAATTTGCTCACAGGTGTTGATGTCTGTTTAATAACAATAATAATAGATTAGTGGCATTACGTAATTCTATTAATAGTATCATATCATACATTTTTGAGGGGAATAACATTTTGGCATGCCGTGTTGAGTCATGGGTGTGCCGCAAGTAGAAAAAGGTTGCGGAACACTCTCTATATTACAAATTAATTAATTAAACAATAGGAAATAATTTTTCATATAATTTAATAAACTGAAAAATTCAAAAACAGAATGGTGTTTCTTATGTAAGCATTTTTTGTACATTGTATATTCTTACATACAGTAGAATCTACTTATTGTAATTACTTTAGGGTTGCCTATAATAACAATATAGGCATTTTAGAAATGCCTATAATATTAATAAATAATAATAATAATAGACTGATAATATTAAATCAGAGTAAGTAAATATCAGTGAAAATTCTGGTTATATCAATTAACATTAAAAAGATATTTTATTAATTATATTGTTTTTACTTGTTCTAATCCATTTTATAATTAAACAAAAGAAATTCAGCAATTTAAACTATTGCACTGCAAGCAAATATAATAATCATAAAATTTTAAATGTAAAAACTTAAAAAACATCTTCACTTGCTGTCAATTAAGATACAAATATGATAAAAATTGTAAAAATAGATCAAAGTTTGATAACTAATAAAAGAGTAAGAGGCTAATAACATTTCCTTGTTGTCATTTCTATTATAGAAATAAATATATAAACTTTATTGTATAATTTATAACAGTTAGATTTTAAGATCTAGCAGATATTAAGCTAAATTTGATAAGTGGATGGATATTGAAATTTTAATGGATTGTTGAAAGAAAAGCTATATTATTTTCACTTCTGCTTAAGAAGTTTTTAAAATGGTCCCTTGAAAAACTTCCTGAGTTACATTGTATATCATTAGAAATTTATTTATTTATTTAAGCAACAAGAAAAGTCTCCAAACTCTTTCCCTAGGAACTACACCCATCATCAAGCTGCCATAGCTTTGAACTGGGTCTATGAGCATTTGTGCTTCATGTCTTTTTTGTGCATCCATTAGCAAAAATAAAGTGAAAAAATGAAATATCTATTGCTTGAGTGATTGACAGATGTACAAAGATGGTGTTCTGTCTTAAGTGAATCTTATCTTTACATAAGAAGAAATCAGCCAGTCTTTTCAATAAACTGAAATAGAAAGAACGGAATATTGTGATGAAGTATTGCAAGAACAGGATTTAAAGGATGGCTTGATTGGTTTTTGAAACAAGAGCATTTCTTAGCTTAAAGGTTACTTACTGGAGCGAATATTTCTGGTGTAGTTTTATTAACAATATTGTACTTACATTTGTGAGACTCTGCACTATGTAATTTATTTACATAACTAAATCATAATATAATGTCTTGATGATAAAATGTATGATAACTGTCAACTTTCACACCTGGAAGTAAATTGTTTGTTAAGTTCTCAGCAATAAAAGCAACGCTTTCTCATAACTTTCCGACCTACTGTCTCAATTTCATCAGTTCAATATAGCAAGGAACTGCAAGTTTAGGCAGTCGTCACCAGTTCCTCGACCGATAATCTGTGCTCTAAAATAAATTACCCTATTAACTCGGACTCGAAACATTTGTGCCTCCGAATCGGAATAACTTTGTCGTCAACCCGAAATAATTCCAGAATTTACTCCCAGAATACATCTTATCCAGAACTGTTCTAACATGCCAACCTTTGCATTTCTTCAACCTTCCTAAGGAATAGACCGAATTCTCTCCGGCATCAAGTCTACAACCAGATCCTTCAACTACAGGTATTTATCGCCACACGAACCTCATGTAAACTCTCTCTCTCTCGAGAAATGTGGAGATATCTAGATCTATTTTAGTTTGATTTATTATAACTCGTTTAACGATTTAAAATGTATAAAATATATTTTTTTTTTTTTACAAATAAACAGTTTTTTTGTTAACCTAGTCTCTGCATGAGTCACTTCCTGCTCGTTATCTCACGGTCTCCATCCTGAATCCAATCCGCAGCCACTTGTGTGACCTACTTTCTAATCCAAACCGATTTGCCATTGTGGCTTCCATTTCCATTGGGACATGGTAGTGTCATCCTTGATAGGGCATCAAAGAGGTGTCGACCCTCTGGTCACACTGTTGTCAGAAGTTGAGAATTTTAAGCCCAGGACACACTGATGTCAGAGCAGGATCAAATTTTTCAGGAAAATTCTAACAAATCAGACTAATCATAATCAAATCTAAATAGGATGGAGGCTAGAGGAGAAGGATGCACACAAGGAGAGACAGCAGGAAATGCTGCATTAGGCGGACTTGGAGCATGATTCCTTTAATACCCTCTTTTGCGGGGGATGCTGATGGTCTTAAGGTCACTGATTTCTTTGAATCACTAGATAAAATAGCTAAATTAACCAATTGGGCAAAGGTGCAATGTTTAGGCGTTGCCAAACTAAAATTGATGGGTATAGCCAGAGATTTTGCATGGAAGGATGTGAGGATAAAAGAATTGAAAAAAGGATTGAAAGATTGCATCTGATAATGTAAAAATAAATAAATATTCAGTTCTTTTATGTAAATCAGGAAAATGGAATTTGTCTCAAGCTACTGCCATAGAACTGGTATAAGGTAAATTACAGAATTTGAAATGAGTTTAACATTATTGGAATAATCTAGAATATCATCAAACAATTTCTACTTTCTTTTGCACCTTTGATATCTAGAAATATTAACAGAGACATCAATCTTGTCTTTCCTTGCTGTAGAGTATCAAACAATTTAAAAGTGCATTCTCTGTGGAATGCTGGGGTGTGAAAAATCATATTGGTCATTGCTCAAAAACTTTTCATAAGATGAAACTTTCTTTAAATAAAAAAAAAAGTATGGAAAATGGCAATTTGTGATACTACTACTATTTGATGGAATGCATTACATACATAACCTGGGGTACACCTGTATATGGCAACGTTCAATCAATAACAACCTCTTAGAAGAATTTTATGAAAAATATTTTAAAATTAATAATTGATTGTACAGATATTTAAAAAATTTTCATTATCATCTTATGTTAAGAACAACTCTTGTATTCTTATATTAAATTTTATATTTTTGTTATTAGAGAGATTGTGGTCAAAGCTTTCATCTCTAAAATATGAACATCAAATGTTTTAGAGATGAAAACTTCAGCCACAACCTCTCTACTATATAGAATAAACCTTACATACTGTTTACATGAATGAAAACATAGTTCTAATACGATTAAAGTTGGAAATATAAATTTAACAAAATTAACATTTAACTACTTCATTTAAGTTATAAATCCTATTTACAATATCATAACTAATTATTCTGATAAAAAAGAAAATGTTGTTTTCTTTCAATTACATCTGATATTTTCATTCAGTTTTCAGAATATCATTGGTATTATCAAGCACTCTAATTCCTCTTACAGGAATATAAATTTAATATATCTTTTAATTAAAATAATCCAATTAATACAAAACCTTTTAAGACAACTTCTCATTAGAAAAGTTAATGCACACTTAGTTTATTTTTACTTAATTAATTATTTCTTTTAAGTTTCTACAGTAAATCATAAAATATTAATACAAATCAATAAAAATTAAAATATTACCATAATTAGGAATTGTAGTCATTGCAATGTGTGGTTCTGACCATCTTTTCCATTCTCCATTCTTAACACAGCAGGAAACTCTAAATGTGTATTGTTTTCTGTATTGGATATCTCTGACCAGGTAAGATTTTTCAGGGCCTTTATAAGCAAATTCATAATTATTAACTAACTGTGGATTCTTTCTAACATTTCCAGAGCAATATTGTAAACCAAAAGTTCTTTCTTCAATGTTTTCTTCATCTGTCTGCAATAAAAAAAAACACATTTTATATATATAATTTTTTTATAAAACTAATCTAATGTATTATTGATGATTAACTAAATAATTAAAGTTTTTTCTTACCTCTTCCCAATGAATGACTAAACCTCCTGGTCTTTCTTCAACATGTATAATCTGAACTGGAGAAAATGCACTTACAAATCCATGATTATAAATTAAACTTGATATTTCTGGAAGAAGTTTTGTAGAAAAATTAACATTGATATTTGCAACTTGAGCAGGATTTGGAACTTCTGGCAATCTAAATTTTTAAAATCATAATATTAAATATAACAGTCCTTAAAGTACATCAATTATAAAATATAAACATCCATTAACCCAATTTTTAGATGTCAATTACATACTGTATTTAACTAAAACCTCAAACAGAAAAACTATTTTTATTAAAAGAAATTTATAAATATATAAAATAATACATACAATCCAATCATGGAAGTCTTGCTTAAATAAGATGTAATTTGTTCTGAAGAAACTGGAACATCTTTTTTCAAAATATTTTCTCCTGAAATATCATCTTATAAATTAAATAATATTAAATAGTACTGATTAATTAATTTAAATTCAAATGTATAAAGTAAATAAATAAACGTTAAAGGAAAAAAATAAATAAATAATACAATACTAGTCTCTTTTTTATTAAAACTTCTTGATAATTTTATTTGTAAGGTCATTTATATATATATATATATATAAATGAACTTGTTGGTGTTGGTGCAGATTAAAGTGTGCCTTTCTGATTTGAGTTAAATGCTGAGTCTAAGGTGGCAAATACAGGTACATATTTCTAATGATAATACTTTCGTTTCTACAGATAATAGCCAGTGTAGAACAAAATCTAAGTCCTCTCTCTCATTCTCTGTTGATAAGAGAACAGCCACCTTTAACAAGAGGTAGCAATGCAGTTAAAGTGACAAGGTCAGCTGATATAGATACAATGCTTTGTATGCCATCTGGTACTTTCTCTGATATGTAGAAAAGGGAGAAAGTTTGTGAGGAAGAGAACGAGGTCAATTTCAAAACCACATTAGAAGCAAGTGTTAATCGTATGGAAAGCAAAGACTGCTCAACTGAAGTTTTCCTGCATCACATGATTAAATTAATACAGGGAATATTATTATATTATATTGTAAGATAATGGAACAACTATTGGAATTTAAATCAGTGATCAGTTTAAGTTTTCAATTTTAATTTTCTTTGCACAAATTTTATTAGATTCAAACCATTTTAGACACTTGTGAACAAGAAAAAGCTGCATTGAAATTAAAACATAATATATATGAAATACAAAAAGTAGAAAAGCAGATAAATTGTTTCATCAAGATATCAAAGAATTCAATGCCAAAATTCATATTACCAGATATTGATAGGTGATTGCAAGTACAACAGCACAATGCAAATAATTTATTAACTTTATCTAACCAACATAACTTGATAATATTTGGTTATCCCTTGACAGATAATGTGAATATCAGGGAAGCTCTCTTAAATTTGTTCAGAAATTCTTTGAAACTCAAAGAGATAAAACATGAAGAAATAACCAAAGTATATTTTATAAGAAAGGTAGACCCTTCTATTATTATAATAGAGTTAAGTTCCATCCCAGAAAAAAAAAAAAAAAAAAAAAAAATCAAATATTGTCAGCTTTTTATAATTATAAAAATGAGAATCATGATCAATTTTTCAAGAACTTACGAATGTGTTCTGATTTAACTCAAAAAACAAGAGAATGAAAAATAAAAATTTTACCTTTTTATATAAAGGCAAAAAGAAAGGGTTAAAGGTGATGTAAGGACTGATTTTATAATTTATGAAAACAAGAAATATACATATAGCTATAATAATGATGATCTGGTTGACACTAAGTTTTTTTTTAGAGAATTCATTTTTTTTGTAGAAATCATTTAAATAAGTTATTTCATTTGGCTAAAGATATAGTTAATCAGAGTAGAATAGTTGACTTAGATTGTTCGGACATTCCATTAAATAACAAACCTAATGTAAAGTTATCTGTTGGAATATGCAGGGTGCAAGAAATAAGATTTTTTTCAACTTATTTTAACAAAATTTTAACAGGATATAATATACTTGGTTTAGAAGAAACTTGAATAACTAAATTTACTGAAACAGAAATTGCACTCCTGCAAAGTTTACATAATTATATTTTGGTCCAAGCAACCAAAAAATCTAGTATGGGTAGACCAAGGGGGATTATGTTGTTATTAATAAGAAAAACTTTGGGAGAAACTGTTTACTCTCATCAATGTTCATATTTAATATTTGCTATGGTCAAACTTGACAGAAGTAATTTTAGAATGTTTTCAAATAGTTATCTGGCAACAGCTGTGAACTACATGCTGCAATATGAAAATATTCTGAATCCCTTTAATGAATTTGAGCAGATTATGGAGAGCTGATTACATTTTCTTCTTGGTTAATAATTGGTGATTTTACACTAGAATAGAAAGCAAATGTAAGACAAATTATTATGGGAATAACTCAGCTATCTGTAACAAAAGAATGAGTCATGATTCTGGAAGTAATAACAAAAGAAGATTACTGTTAAATTTCGTCCAAAATTATAACCTGTTTGTCTTAAATGGGCATTTTGTTGGCAATTTCCCAGGTTGTTATACCCACATCTCCTAAAACGGAGCTTCGCTAATTGACTATGTTATATGTTCGAATTTTTGTTCAACTATTGCACTAAATTTGAGGTTTCTGATGTTGATGTATCCGTTTATTTTCCAATTCAACTGACAATAGAACAGGGCTAAAATAATTCATCCTTTGACAGAAAATCAAGGAAAGTGTACAGGCAATTACAAAGAAATATAAACATGATGATAATACCTTTGAACAAGAGATTGGCAATAAAATAAGATCAATTCAAAATATAGCATTTGTGAGAATTGAGATTAAGAGGTTAATTATTTTTTTAGAAATTATCGTTAAAGGAACGTTTTAGTTTAGAATAAAATTTTAAACAAAAAAGATGTAACATTTGTCATTCTCAGAGAGAAGGGAAGTTGAACTTCCTTTTAGACGGCTAACTTGTGAGATGAATCAGATGCAGCCTTTGCACATGTTACTGGGAGGTCCCTATAAAAAGGGGCATTTTCCTGCCTTTGGTGCAGTTCCCTGAAGACAGAACATGTCACATGAAATTCGCATAATACCTTAGAAAGGACAGTCACATAGGAAGTCGGCAATATTTTATAATGCGCACATAGAAGTTACACTCAAGGTTCACATTTTCATCTCAGTTTCCTCTCACATAAAGAATCATACATCAACTGAAGACAAGAATAAACCGCCTAAGTGAAGATAGTATAAATTATAGATTTATGTAACTCTCTCTCTCTCTCGCACATAGATTAGATTAGCATATATTTTGATCTCTCAGAATGTTGTATTTTCATTGTAATTGTTTCATTTGACTTTTATTAAATTTTGTGTTGTGTTTTTAATTGGTCTAGTTAATTAGTCTCCATTCATATAGAGAAGTAGACCCTCCTATGATTTTATGGACGTCGTCAATTGTATGTCTCATTTATCATCTATAATAGTTTACGCTTATTAACATGAGTCACATGAGTTCACGTAGTCAGGTCTTTTTTTTTTTTTTTTTGTTTTCTTGGGCAGATCTGGCAAACACCCTAGAGTTGGCATCCGAACTCTTCTTTTTTTTATGCATTGTGTTATCATTTCTTATTAAATCAATTGTTATTTTAATTTTGTACTGTCTTAATCATATTGTATTATCATCTTTGTGGCTATCGACACAACCGCATATTTCACAATATATATAGTATAAATAAATAGCTTAAATTTTAAAATGTTTTTAAAAACTTATAGTTATGTTATAATTATACTGAAAAAACAAAAATTTACCCTCTCGTAACATGGCAGTTGTTGCAGCCATGTTTTCTTCTATCTCTTTCTGACATTCAACTAATGGAACAATTGCTTCATTACAGAAAGTAGTTATTTCTGTTAGAAGTTGATCACGTCGTCTCTCTAAAGTGGTAGTAATCAATTTAGTTATGTTCGTAAAATAATCTTTAACAAGATTTTCAGACTTCTTGGCAGACTGATCAACCTTTAATTAGATTAAATAATATAAAAATTTTTGTTTTAAATGTGTTATTAAATTATTAAAAAGTAGCAAAATTTGTGAAATTTGATACTAAAATTCAAATAATTTTTGACATTTACTATGTAATACAATAAATGATTTAATTTTTCACTTGCCTGTCTAACAGCTATTCCTAATTGATCTAATAGATCTTGAAGATGCTTTAGATAATCCTTTCCGGTGCTTAAAGATTCTTTTACTTCATAATCATGTGTTTCATTCATAATAATAAAAGGTATGCAAACCTATATTAAAAATAGAATTTAAGTAAATAAATTTAAATAAAAGTTTTGTTGCATACTTATTGTACAGCATATTTGAAAATTTAAATACTTTGTAACTTATAAAATGTCATTAGTTTAAAGACAATGCTTGTAATTTCTATTATTTGGAACTGAAAGATAATGCAAGTTTTCAACTTTACACAAAATCACAATTACATAAAATCAAATATTTAATTTTATAAGATTCTACTTGTAAAGAAATATTTATTAAACTATCCATCGTACATTGACTAAATTTAAATACAATTTATCTAGTGAATTCTTTAATGATCAAAAGAAATTATTAGTAACAGATGAATTACCATTTTTCAGTAATATTAATTATTCAATTACTGAATTAATTAGTTTAGAAGTCTGGAAAAAACAGTTCAGAATAAAACTTGAAATATCTACAATTCTTGATTAATGATTATGCATATTGGGTTCCAGTTTGAAAAAACTGTAACCCAATATAAATTACAGTTTGAAAAAACTGTAATCCTATAAATCCCCACTGTCATCTCTCTGTCTGTCTGCCCTTCCTTAATCTCAAGAATGAAGTTAGATGAAAGTCGAGACCAGATATGGAAAGCTTAGGACAGGAGGTCCCAATTAACTATATACAAACTTCTGGTCTAGACTGGAAGTGACGTGATTTCAAATCAAAAATTTTCTCAGAACAGAGTTACATAGATGACTGGCATGACTCTGTTGTTGTCAGGAAAAGCACAATGTACAGGGGAAAGATATTACTAATTTGAGATTGAGAGTATATAGGTCTATATATTTTAAATTAAATAAATTAAAAATTGCAGCCTGACATTGTGACAATGTCATAATAATTTTTCCTTGTTGACAGTTATATTTTCTGAATATTCAATGACAAATTTCTTTCAGTTGTATGTTAATTCAGATATGATATAATCAGAAAATCAAGATCATCATTAGGATTTTGCCAAGGAATAAATGAATAAACTGATTAATATGTCAAAAATAGTTGTCTCAATAGATTCTAGTGTTTGTATTAGTAACACAGTTATAGGGTATAAAAAAAGTAAATTTATTAATTACCTTAAAATAATATAAAAAATAAATTCCTTGTAACAAACTAAGGTTATAATCTATTTCTTGAACTAAATCAAAATGAATTTATATTCAATAATAGAATATTGTAAACAAAATTAATATTCTCTACCTTTTGTTGGATTTGTAATATATTCAGTTATACAATTCCTCAAATAACTAGTTAATCAGTTTTTATTGTAACCAATTTGACAACCTTAGATTCAAATAACAAAGTATGACTGTATTTTGTTTCAATTTCATTGACTAATGAGAAGTATGTACAGTGGATCCCCAGTTAATGAATGTCCTGGTTAACAAACTTTTATTTTGAAAAAATTTTGTCTCGGATAATGAACTTAATGGCTTTTTGTGTTAAATTTGTAAGTTTGCTTTCACGAAACTTTCTAAACCACTTACAGCACGTAGAATCATCAATGGCTCCCTCACCATACACAGAACATATCTTTTTTTGTGTCTGCGAAGCATTCTTGCCTTTTCAGAAATAAAAAAGCATAATATGTCAAAAATGCTCCTTATTTTCTGCCATTTGTAATGCTTAACAAAATTTTTAAAACATAACTAAGTAACACAACTTTATTCTCAAATACTAGCTGAGATCTCTTTTGTCAAGCAACATCGAAATTTTACACATGTGAAGGAAATAACACTTCAGTGTTGCGTTTTTAGCCAGCTGGTGCTAAAAATGGGATGAACTTTTGCATCAACCCAATAGTTTCCAGCCGTTCTGGAACCTCACAAGTTTCAGTTGCTCTTAAGCATGCGCGAGGTAAGCATTGCTTTCTCGAGTGTGCTAAACTTCATTTTTTAGTTTTATTTATATTGTATATTTAATCAATATGGCACTGAAGAAAGAGAAAAGTGACAGTGGAAATAGAAAACGTTTTAGTGTAGCATTAAAGAAAGAAATTATTGCAAAATACGAGAATGGCATTCGTGTTTCTGACATCGCTAAAGAATATAATGTGGCAAAATCAACTATCTCTACAATTATTAAAAACAAAAAAGCATTTAAGGCTGCCGAAGTGGCTAAAGGAGTGAATGTGATATCGAAACAAAGATCTAAAGTTTTAGATGAAATTGAAAAACTGTTGCTAATATGGATCAATGAAAAGCAACTTGCTGAAGACAGTGTTAGTGAAGCTATAATTTGTGAAAAGGCTAAAAATTTATACAATGACTTGTTGACCCAGACACCCAGTACAAGTGCAGACAGGCAGGACTTTAAAGTGAGCCAAGGGTGGTTTGATAGGTTTTGCTGACAAACTGGAATTCACAGTGTCATAAGTGTCATAAGACATGGGAAGGCTTCAAGTTCAGATGAAAAAGCAGCAAAAGCATTTGTAGATGAATTCACATAGTTTGTAAAAAGTGAAGGATACGTCTGGAATCAAGTGTTTAATTGCAATGAGACCGGTCTTTTTTGGAAAAGAATGCTTAGACAAACGTACATAACCCAAGAAGAGAAAGCACTTCCCGGGCACAAACCCATGGAGGACAGACTCACTCTTTTATTTTGCACTAATGCAAGTGGTGACCTCAAAATCAAGCCACTTTTAGTCTACAACGCTGAAAATCCACATGCCTTTAAGAGAAAAAATGTGATAAAGTCCAAACTGCCTGTACAATGGAAGGCAATTAGTAAGGCGGGTAACTCAGACTTTATTCATGGATTGGCTCACAGAAGTGTTTGCTCCTACTGTTAAAAATTATCTTCAGGAAATGGATATTCCTCTTAGATGTCTTCTCTTAATGGATAATGCTCCAGCACATCTACCAAATTTGGAGGACGACTTGGATAGTGAATATGACTTCATCAAGGTCAAATTCTTTCCACCCAATACAACTCCATTACTGCAACCAATGGATCAGCAAGTGATTTCCAATTTTAAAAAGCTGTATACCAAGGCACTGTTTACTATGTGTTTTCAGGTTACCAATGATACCGACTTAACTCTTGGAGCTTTTTGGAAGGAACGTTTTAACATCCTGCATTGTATCAACCTTATTGACAAAGCCTAGAGTGAGGTCTCTCACCGCACTTTGCAATCAGTCTGGAGGAAACTTTGGCCAACTTGTGTACCAGAGTGAAACTTTCAGGAATTTGAAGAAGAGAGCTCTCCTGATGTAGTGCATGAAAATCATGTCCATTGGCAAGAGTTTGAGAGTAGAGATAGATGATGCAGACGTGGAGGAGTTGCTGAAAGACCATCAAAATGAACTAACAACAGAAGAGCTGGTTGCCATGCAGGAAGAACAGATGAAAGTCTTACAAGAAGAGCATTCGTCAGAGGAAGATGCTAGGGAAGAAATCACCAGTGCTGAGATCAAGGAAATTTGCAGAAAATGGAATGATGTGAGGAATTTATCAAGAAGCATCATCCTAACAAAGTTGTGGCTAATAGAGTCATTAATTTAATGAATGACACTGTGCTAGCACATTTTAGAAAAATTTTGATTAAGAGAGTAAGACAATCAACTTTAAATCACTTTCTTGTTCCTTATCAAAAGAGACCTCGACTTGAAGAAACTCCCGATGCAGTGCTAACCGATATTTTTATGGAGGGGGATTCCTCCTCCAAGCATTAAGCTCTGTAGAAACAAAGGTATGTACAGCGCTACTTTATTAATTAAATAAAGTTTACATATTTGTTGCTGTAATGATAGATACTATGTTTTCTTATATTTTCATCAAAGAGAACCTATTTTACAAATAAAATTACAAAAATACTGACAGCTAAAACAGATTAATTGTATTTGCATTAATTTCTATGGGAAAAATTGCTTCGGTTAACAAACAATTCAGTTAACGAACAGACTCGTGGAACAGATTACGTTCATTAATCGGGGTTCCACTGTATTATTTAACTTTTGAGTTAGCAAAAGAAAATGTAAAGTGGAACACAACACTAATTAAATATATAGTATTTTATAGATGAACTAAAAAACTATTATAAAGATATTAAATTGATATTAGTGTATTTTAGACTAAAAATATTTATATACTGTATATAAAAAGTTTTTAAATATTAAACTTTTTATTCACATAAATGCATTAAAAAGTAAATTTTCTTCAATTTTAACAGTATTCTTGGTATTATGTGATCAAAAACAAAAGCATGGGGCACTCATAGAAAGCCCATCAAAATTACGAGGGTCATTCTAAAAGTAAAGAACATTTGTTTCTCTAGATATTTTTATTTAAGATAATGAAACAAAACTTATTTTACAACACACATGATACCTTAACTATATTTCTACATAGTCACCATACAAATTTAAACATTTGTCATAGCCTATCATCAGCTTTTCTATGCCTTCTGCACACTCAGTTACCGCCAAGTTCTTGAAACCAGTCATTAACGGCCTCTTTCAGTTCCATACTGATTCCTGGCTAAAAAATCCTTCAATTTTGGGAAAAGATGTAATCACTCAGAGCCTAGTCCGAGCTATAAGAAGGATGTTCAAAAACTTCCCACTTAAACTGCTGAAGCAAGTTCTTCGTCAACACAGCAACATGTGGACATGCGTTATCCTGAAGAAGCACAATGCTTCTGGACAACAATCCCCACCATTTGTTTTGAACTGAAACTTCCTTCATCATATTACCATAAATCTTGGTTATCTGTCTGTAAATTTCAATAGGGTGGATTTTTTTGCATTCAAAAAGCATATTACACTACAAACCTCACACTTGGCAGGATCTTTAATTTTGTCACACATTTCAAAGTCACACTAAAAAACAGTAAACAATTGTTGTAGCTTGCTGTTAGCATCAGACAGGTGCAAAAACATGGAAAGGTCCATGACGTGGCAGTGGATGGTGGTGGGAGAACTGCACAGCTTGTCAGATCAAAACATTCTTTTCTTTTAGAATGACCCTCCTAATAGGAAGTGTAACTAAGGTTATTTCTAAACATGGACACACCATGCTTTTATTTTTGGTCCCATAATAACAAATATTGTGAAAGCTGAAGAAAATTTATATTTTAACTTTTTAGTGCATTTATGTGAATATATGCACTAAAACTTTTCTTTGTTTCTTTAAAATTTTTTTATATTTATTATTTTCTACTTTTTAGTTTTATACCTATATCACTGAATTATTGGGTTATTCGAAAAGTAATTTCATTTTTCTCTTGGCAAAAAACACAATATTTTTATATTAAATAAATATTTTATATATATAGACCATTTTGGTCAAATACCTGTTGTAATCGTTTCTGTTAGTAGCATGATTCCATGTTTATAAAAGTTTTGATGTTTGCTTACAAAAAATGGATCCAAGCAATTTTTGACATTTTCATTTCAAGTAACTGTCTTACAGTTTAAAAAATTTTGTAATGTCCAGAACAAGTAATAATCTGAGGGTGCCTGATCTGGCAAATATGGTTGGTGTGATAGCACATCCCATCTAAGCTGTAAGAGTTTCTGATGAGTTACCAAACTTGTGTGAAATTTGGCATTATCATGGTAAAATGCTACACCTGTTTTGTTGATCAATTCTGGCCTTTTCTGTTTGATGATATTACTCAATTTGTTTACTCGATGGTAGTACACTTTTGAATTAATTGTTAAATTGTCTGGTAAAAGCTCAAAAAAAAATTTTCCTTAAAATCCCACCAAAGAGAGCATCTCTCTTTAAGAACATGTGGAACCCATATATCGAGCTTTCAAACAAAACCAATTCGTTTCAAGTACTCATAAATGGTTCAATTTGACAAATTTAATCTCTTAGTGATTTCACGTGTTGTTATTCAACAGTTTGCTTCAATCAATACCTTTATTTTGTTTTCATTGGCTTCAATTTGCCATCCAGAAAGTGGTGCATCTTCAATATTAAGATTGCCAGAATGACATTTTGTAAACCAGTTTTGGCACTGTCTTTCTTTCAACACATCTTCTCCATACACGTCACACAATTTTTTTCTTGTTTGAACAGCATTTTGATTTTTTGGTAACAAAAAAAGCAAACTATGCCGAAAATGATGTTTTCGATTTTCCATATATGATGGGACACCAAAAAAAAAAAAATTGTACAGAATCAAACAAAATTTTTTACAAATAAACCTTTAAATGTCAGCTGTCAAAACATATAATGAAAATGTGGTTAAAAATGAAATTGGCTGGTAAAAACACATCTAATTCCTCTAGTAATAAAAAAATAAAATTACTTTCTGAACAACCCAATATCAAAATTCTTGTTTTAGCATTGGAAAGTGGGTGAAAAATCGAGTTACAAGATTTTATGTAAACAGTAAGACTAAAAAGAGGCAGAGGCAAAAGTTACCCTACATGTAACCCATCCATTACCAAATTTTGAAAAATTTTTAATTTTTGCAAATTTTTTGCTAATTGCTAAAATTGTTTGAAAATTCTAAAAAAAACTTATTGTCATAATATGTATGCAAAGTTTCAACTTGATTGGAAACTGGAAAATGGATGAAAATTGAGTTACTTTATCTGGACAGACAGTCAGCAGGCAGAGAAATGGACAGACAAAGTTAATAAAAAGCATATAAAAAATATAACTATATAATTATGAAAAAGTTGCTTCCTTAAATTATAAATACAAACACTTAAAAAAATCAAAAACCACCAACCATCATCTATTATTTTAGACTCTCAAGATTTGTTTATATTTTTATTCATGAATATAAAATTTGATTCGTGTAACATAAATAAACAAACAATATATTTTTAACATAAGACATTTACTATTTCAAGACATTTTAATGAAAAGTTTTATAATTAATAAATAAAACTGAGTTATTATATTATATGAAACAAAATAAATGACAATAAGATGGTTGTTTATTAAGCTGGTATATAAAATAAATATGCAATTATAAATGTCAATATTTTATTGGGTATATTTGCATTTTATCATATCTGTTAATCTTCTTGGCACAGGTGAAACAAGTTTTTTACATAAATCTTGACATATTTTTCCATTTTGCAGTAAGTTTCTCTTTCAATTCAATGGTTTTACTAATTATATACAGTATTCATACATGTAACTCCAGCTAAAGCATATTCATGACATTCATGATCTGGTGACTGTGCAAGTGTTTCTAGTATTGTACTTTTGGAACAATATAAAGTAGCTACAAGTGAATATTAAGTACCTTATGCTTTGGATCATTATCCTGATAAAATCTGAAACTGTTTAAAATGCCTATAATTGCTGCACTAGCCTTCAAATTGTGCTTCAGAATATTTAAATAAATGCATTAGTCCATATTTGAATCTATAAATACTAGATTTTCAATACCTTGTGAGGACACACATCACCCAGACCATAATGGAATCTCATCCACGCTCCACTATTGGTAGAATATTTTTGCTTAGCACTTCATTTACTTTCATACTGTCTTTTTACCGTCTAACCAATAACACCAAGTTACCAATAACAAATATTATTGCAACACAATGAAAGGTGATTTTTTTGTAATAATTTATATAAACATTAAAATAATGTGGTGGAGATTACGGGATAACGAATAAATCGAGATTATCCCGTAATCTCAATCACGCTATTTTAGCGTTTATATTAATCCATCTATTGTCGAAGACATTAAGTAAGAATTTATGACTAGATTTTATCAGGGATCCAACACACTTTATTTTTTTCTTATAACAAATTGCATAGTTCTAACAATTTCTGAAATTTTTCTGTAACTTGTTTCCATTATTGAAATAAGAAATAAGTTTGTGCAGTTCAACAGATGTGTTCTTTGATTTATGTCTCATATTACTCTAATAAAACTGCACTTCACAACAGAAAATTGTAAAATAATAGAACACACAAACTTCAGATAAATTTACAACCATATTTTTGTGCCCAAACCAATACTCGTGCTATGTCAAAAAGTTGCATTTTTAGAAAATTAGTATAAATAAATGCCTATTTAAGTGATAACAATTCATCATTAGATTTTCACCCAATTTCTATCATTATTAATTATAATTTATAAAATTTAAGTACTGAATAATTTTTACATCATTTATATGCTAATCTTTTGTGTTACACGAATGAAAATCCATGTGATTCACTGTATAAGTAGACATTCATTGTCACACATCACCTTATATGGTGAAGTATGTCAACAGTAGGCAGTATGTAAAAAAATTTACGCAGGGACTAAACAAAAATGTATGTAGAGAAAATGTATGACCATATATTTCCTTTTGGGATAAAATTTTATTGTTTTTTTCTAAAATTTAATATTTAGATACAGTCGACCCCCTATAACACTGTTGATTATTCCGTTTTATATGAATTCCATGTTGTACGAGTCACTTAGATTTTACAAATACAGTCGACCCCCCTATAACGTATTCTGTGAACGGCTCACGTATTTGTAAAATATAAGTGTCTCGTACAACATGGAATTCATATAAAACGGAATAATCAACAGTGTTATGGGGGGTCGACTGTATTAGCCAATTTTGAAATATGAAAAAAAAAATTAAACTTTATAAAAAAATACACTTGTACTTACTTCTAAATAATACGTATAAAACGAAATTTTTGTCTAAAAATATCATTCATTTACGTACTTAGCCGACGATATCACTTTGACTCTCGAAATTTTTGATTTGAATTAAGATGTCAACTTGTTTATTTTCGTCATAACTTATTTGAATGGCTTCCGAGAAACCGGAAACATGTGTTGAAAACAAGCGCCACCTGCCATTGTACAAAAATTATCAAAAATTAATTTAAAAAAAATATATTGTTATGTATTTTTGAAATTTCAATGTTCAAAATAAAAGTAAAAACTTGGATAATGTTTGTAACGAATAATAAAAAATAATAATATAACTATAATATTATTAAAATTTTTAAATTAAACTCTTACCGCCTTAAAAAAACTAAGAGGGACTCATTTTAGTAAGCCCAGAATCTTTAATTAATGCTCTTAGGTAAAAATTAGTAATACTTAAATACAAGCGAGACTTGTACGTAGATAATTTCTTACCGTAGTAAATTTCCAGAGATTTAACAGAAAAATTCATCACAAAACGATTACTAATGCTAATGTATGAAATTTCATTTAATCAATGCAAGGTGTGTGATTACCAGAGCCCCTTCGGCCGCCAATTTAAAGTCTTTTAATCTTTAAAATTAGCGTTTCCACTTCCCGGGACGAGGACCCAGGGGTTGGATTTGTGGGAAGCGTGTGTTCGGGTTGTTTCATTGTGTGGAATTACACAGAACGAGGCGCTTGACGTGTAAGTGCGTGAGTGCGAGAATTCGAGTAAAGGTTAAACGGTGTATATCTTCGTGTACAGTGATGTTGTGTCCGTGCGTGTGTGTGTGTATGTGTTTGTGCATCTTCGGCATGTCTAAAAACAGAAAAATAGTCAATTACGATGCGAGAATAAGGTGTGTTAAAAAATGAAACGAAACAGTTCTTACCATCGGAAAATATTCACTCGTACGATAAATGGTACTTGGTCCTCTTCGTGGTAAAGTTGGGGAGGGAGATTCTTCTCCCTCCCGAATGTTCCTACAAAACACAAAGGCAGTGAGAATACGAGAAGTTTATTCATTTATTACCTAAGGTCAAGATTATTACCTTAACCAGACAGCCTTTCTTCCCGAACAGTGTTATGAGAAGAGCGAAGGGTTCGTTAGGCTAGCCTAGGCTAACCTAACGAACCCTAACCGGAAGCTCAATCCTCATAACAGCTGTTTGGGAAGAAAGGTCGGCCGAATGTCGCGTCCGGTGAAGAAACGTGTCAAGTCCGTGGGTCACGTCCGGGTAAGAAAGGTCACGTCCGTTAAAAAGTGTCATGTCCGGGTAAAAAGTGTCGAATCCGGTAAGAAAGTCGCATCCGGGTGAAGAAGAGGAAATCGAAGAAGATCACCGCCTAGGCCAAGGCAACCGCAGCCGTCCGCAGCAACTAAACCACGGACAGCACGGTCCCTCGACTTCGGGGGCTCTCTCCTCCGACTCCTCCCCGTCCAGACTTCGGCAAGGCGGTGGCGTCGCCGTCGCGGACGAACGGGCAGAACACGACCAAACAGAAAGTGTCAGCTCGGACGAGCTGTCACTTTCGACATCCTCCACAGCAAGGTCTGTGGCCGGATGACCCCCGAAGACCTCGGCCAAGCGCACTGGGCCCTGGGTGTAGCGTCGCATCATCCCGACTCCGGGAGGATGCCACGCCACGCGCACTTGGCCAAGGCCTTCTTCACCCGCTGCCTGTCGCTCCTCGGACGGCACGGAACGACAGACTCGTTCCGCGTCGTCCGAGGAACCCTCTCCCTCCGGCGCCACCGCCTGCCTCCGCCGGAACCGCCTCCAACAACGCAGCAACGTCTTCATCCTGTAAAAAAGAAAATTTGCAATTAGTCCAGTGAAAACAAAAGCTTAAATTAATGCTTAAATTCTTCCGAGTAAAAGCAAGCCGCCTTTTTAAATCTAAAAGATTCGAATCCGACTATCGAACGATGTGCCGAGATGTCTTCTGGGACCGATTCTCCAAGTAATATTAAATCAATTCTTACGTCTAGGGTCAATATGGACTAAGACTTACCTAAAAAATCTTGAATCCTCTCCGCAAAAGTCCACAAACCGCAAAAAAAGCAACGCAATCCAAGAGCACAACAAAAGCACGTCCGAAAGCAACAAGAAACACAATCGAACTGCGATTCGTCATGCGTGACGTATTTCGAACAAACGTTAAAAAACGCGTCAACAATGTTCGAATTTCGTAAAAATTAGAATGTTTAAAAAAAATCAATTTTTTCATTTTTTTTAATTAATTAATTTATAATTATTTTTCTTTTTTAAATTTGATAAATAAATTATCTTTTGCATTTACATGGCGACCGTGGAGAGGTAAAAGACGATCTTTTTAAATTCTACGTCTCGAAGCTTGACCATCTCCGAAATTCGTTCGAATAAATATGTTTTTCGTCGATTATCGGCCATGGCATGAAAAAATGGAATTCTTAGGATTTCGCCCAATATTATTTCGCTTTTCGGAAAGATTCCTCGGTCGCGGTCGGGGTTGCGAGTTTCGCGTATTAATGCAACATCAAACTGAATAAAGTTAATATAAAAAATACCGAAAAACCTTTATAATACGGCCGAACGAAAATTAAGTCCGAGACAACGGGGAAATCAATACAGAGAATAAAGAGACTGAGCTAGAGGGAAATGATTATTTTTTTCTTCTTAAATTTCTGACTTTTTAAAGGATCTCTCCCTTAAATTTTTAATTTGATCGCTTAGTCAATTTGACATTTCTGTTTCACTTGGTTTGCAAGTGTTGATCCAACTTTGAAACTTTCGCTCGTATCTCTCGTGCCATGATATTTTATTTCCTGACGGCTGAGAATTTTTATTATTATTTTTTTTTACTTACAACGCGACAATTTTGCTTTCGGAGGAATGCTACATTTATTTTCAAATTTTGTCATTGTAGACCCATAAATTCTCACTGTCGTTCGTCCGTATGTCTTAACCTCGAAAAAGGAGTTATATGAATCCGAGACCAAATGTGGAAACTTTAGGGACAGTAGGCCCCAATTAACTATATATAATCTTCCGATTCAAACCGAAGGTCACGTTTTTTTTTTTTTTTTTTTTTCAATTCAAAACGTCAGTTAACAGATGACCGGCACGACTCTATTGTTAACGGAAAAGTATGATGTACAGGGACAAGCCACTACTAACTTGAGGTATTTTAAATTAAATGATTTCAAAATATGATTAAGAATTGTAGCCCGTAATGGTGACCGTGTCACAATAAACAATTGCTCGTAGTTATCGTTTGTTTGTGAAAGCTTTGGTTTCCACTTGTGAAAATATTTACGATAAAAACTACATTTTGATCTTTGTCGTGTTATGAACCAGAGTATCCAAGTTAAAATCCTTCTGAGAGATAATAAGGAGTTAATAATTGTGAGAAAAGGCATTTTTTCCATTAAAAATAAACAAGGAAAACATGCCAGTAAGTGCAAGAGACTGATATGTAGAAACTACACCATTAATTAAGATGTGTACAAATTGTGCACTGTATTCATCATTGTGGATAACAAAAGTATATTAAGACGAACTAACCTTTTGTTCGTTATGTTGGAGACACTGAAGCCGTGAGCGCCAATAGCTACCAATCCGAAATAGGCGAAATAAAGAGAACTGTTTTAATTTCGATCTATGTTAATTATCCATAGTTAAGAAAGACGTGATAGATATTACTAGTCTGACAATTGGAAGAAGAAACTTTTTATACGCTCTCCAGCCTGGCGAAATAGAGTCTGTCTCCTTGAAGTTAACTACGAAGGCTTTGTACATTTCTAACCTTTCAAGTTGTTTCGGCCGAGGCATTATTTTTTGTCTATCATTTCTAAACAGTGAGGAAATTGTAGGGTTTTTCTGAAACTACAATTTTATGTACTGCAGCTTACCAAATTAAAAAATAGGCGGTTTTCTGGTAATTTTTAGGATCCGAATATTTGGCTTGGTACTGTAATAATAATTATAAATAATAATTTATTAATGATTTATTTGGTATTTACTTTTTTTTATAAAATAGTAAATACCACTTTTCACTTTATTGTTATGTTTGGCAATAAATTTAAAAGTTTAAATAAACAAGGAAATATTTTTAAAACCATTGCAACTTAAAAGCTTAATGACGAGATCTTATGATAAAATAAATATATGTTTTGAATGATATGAGAATGATAAAATATATGTTTTGATGTTATTCAGAATAGGAAAAAGAAAACAATTTCATATATACACTTTCTATAATCTTAATTTTATTACTATATGACTATAATAATTATAAGAAAAAATTTTTTCTAAATATCATTTTTGAATAGCTGGTTTTATGTTCAAGTATGTCTTGTCTCTTTAATCCCACATTAAGTTCGGTAGACTATCATTACAGCTTTCAGGTTAAACACTTCTTTTATTGTTTCCACATACGCATTTCGGACTTATATAAATGTTAAGTCTCTCTTCAGTGCAATACTATGGTTCTGTCTTTTAAAACCACCGTGTACAACGGATAACATTGGAAAGATTTTAAAATACAGCCCTTAAAATTACCTCAAATACATTTTCACCATTAAGACGGAAAACCTGTTCTCTCGATCCATTTGTTCTCAATATTCTTCTAAATATCACCGAAATATTATATTTAATGAATTAAGTGTTTCATGTACCCATTTAAGTACTATTTTAATATATTAATACCGTAATAAATAAACTATTTAATCTTTAATTTTCATTTATTTCTATCATCAAAAGATGGCGTAAGTGAATAATTGAGTTTCTAAGTAAGAAAACCAATAGTAAAGTCTGTTTTCATGTGTTTACATAACTGCTTACTACTTAAAAGCATCCATTAACTTAATTAATATTTTTTAATATAAAAAAATGTGATTAATTCGTGCAGAAAATTATATAAATTTATACAACTGATTTGTCCTAGTTTAATTCAACGAACAGATTTATTATCTATTAGCAATTGATATTATGATATTAAAAAAATAATATGATAATATTGCGAATAAGTATTAATAAATGCCATTTTATTTTTATGTAATTAGCAAATATTTATTAACTTTGTGCTTATTTATGAAGGTTTAAAATATTTTTATTTATTTATTTATTCAGTTTTAGTACTAATTATTTAAAAATTATATTTATTTTTTTTATTAATTTTTAATTTCCTTAAATTAATTACATAATTTACATTGATTATATGTAATATCTATTTTAAAACTAGTACTTTATGGACAATTTTCTGCTATAAATGTTTTAATACCATGAATTTAATTATAAATAATATGTTTTATATAGGGGAGACCGGGGCAAGATCGGCATGTTAAGCTTTATTTAAATTTTGTGTAATAAATACTGCTGTAAACTGAAAAAAAAGCTTTGCATATTGTCTATTGGAATGTTACCTTACTATAGAACTGGTTAAAATCAGTTTGGAAATAAAAATAATTAAAATAATTACAACTTTACAAGAAGAGAGAAATTGACGAAGTTGCCCCGGGTATAGGGGCAAGATCGGCAACTTCTCTCTTTTTGTAAAGTTGTAATTATTTTAATTATTTTTATTAAAGTTGCCCCTGGTATAGGGGCAACAGTAATGGGGCAAGATAGGCACGTATATAAAATTATGTTATTAACAATGTATAAGTTGGAATTCACTATTAAAACAAAGAAATACAAATCCAACACCCATTTAATATTATTACAACGAAATGCAAGTTCAAAGACATATATACATGAATAACAAATGCAAACATGTTTTCATTTATCATCTGTTTGATTTTTATCCTTTGCTTCTAATGTGGCTTTATGTTGCCGATCTTACCCCGCTAGTCATGATTTCGAAACATTAAGTACAACCCTGAGAACAGAATGCCAAGCCACGATCTGGCCACGTGAATAAGTTGAAGTTACATCCTTCTAACAGGAAAAGTAACTTTCGTTATCATGGAATTATAACAAAACCTGCCAATTCAATATAAATGGAAAAAAAATATTATATGGAATTGAACGAAAATGAAAATTTGCTTGATAATTCAACTACGCTTGTTGGAGAACAATAAAAACACTACACTCAACAAGCCACCAATAAAACTCAACTGCCTAACCTATAACCAAAGTCTTCTTTTAATTTGTTTTTAAAAAAAAGAGCTTGACAAACTTGCCCCGCGTGCCGAAGTTGCCCCGGTCTCCCCTAATTATTTAATTCCTTTATTAGAATTTATTTAATTTAGAATTAACTGTTAAAGTTCAATAAAATTATTGCTTACATATATTTTTTATGGCATTTTAAAATAAATTCAAACGGAGTATTAAAAAAACTGAATATAGCGCTTTATTACATAATCCCATTCATGTAAAGTACCAATGAAATATTTATTAACGGATTTTCCTGTAAATATTAGAGAATTTTACAATAGGCCTATCCGCGAATTAAAAAATGTTCGATTTTGTTTTCCAACCAATATCATTAAATCATGCAACTTTCAAACTTTTAAACTCAAACTTGTGTGTAGACCTCATTACTATATACTGTATAATTCGTATTGTTTGAGATATTTCACACCCACCACCATAATCAGAGGTGAACAAATAGTAACGCTAACTAGAGGTTTGACTTATATCTCAGTGATATAAAGATAGTACAATATAATAAATTACATATACACAGGTAACTCTCGGTATTCGGCTTCTGTTTATTCGCGATTGTAAAGATATGACCTACTACACCACTATGCTTTACAATACTGTACTTCCATTGAAGTACAATACTTGTAAAAAAACGTACGTTTGTTATCTCCAATTTCTATATTTTTGACTTAACCAAGTAAAGTACAGTAACTACTGTAGGCCTACTACCAAACTAAGGTCACCGTATTACAGTAACAATGACTTCTGCCAAATCGTACGTGACAAAGTTTCTGTTACAATTATGTAAATAGATTACGTACAGTAAAAACATAATTTCATACAGTAATAATAATAATTCGCTATAACAATATGAGACGACCAAACAAATAGTCAGTGAGGGGTTTGAGGAATGTAGACAGAAGATATTGAAAACATACTGTATTAGAACGCTGTAGAAACCTGAAAATGAGGAACTGCACATGATAATTACAGAAAATTTGCAAAGAAGAAAGCGAAGAAGAAGCTAATGAATA